GGCAGCATCTATGGACTCAAGTGTGGCAATAGTAGTGAGGTTGGCCCAGGATTGGACATTGTTTCGTTCTGCTGTGCATAAGGTTGCTATGAGTTGGTCCCGACTCGATGGCACCTAACAACAACAACAGATCCTCTGATAAGTCACTTAGGAAATTCTTAGGGTTAAAAACTTGCTTTGGTTAGATTCAAAAGGTATTTATTTAGGAAAAGTCATCTAGAAAGTCATTTCTTAAAAGTCTTTTTTAGCATTTGAAAGGTTTTTCTGTTTCCTGTTTTCAGTGTCCTTTTTTCTTACTTACAAAAAATGTCCTGGTAGGTTCTTAAGAATGCAGATCAATTGATAATTGTTGTTGTTGTTAAATGCTGGTCGAGTCGCTTCCGACCCATAGCGACCCTGTACAAGGTTTCCAAGGGTGTAAATGTTTACGGGAGCAGAAAGCCTCATCTTTCTCCCCAATTGATAATAGTTCAGTATTATTCTATTCTAAGAGACAGTTTCTTAGAAATAGCCTTGTCCTATGATTATTTCCATTAGTATTATTTTTTATGTAGGTCGTGTCATTCACACAGTTATGTTAATGCTTATTGTCTGTGTACTAAAGATTATGATGGATGAAGTATGTTTGCTTTTTAAATTTTTTTGGAGGGGATATTACACATCTTCTGAACGGTCTTGAAGAAAAGTCTTTTAACATTTTTACCAGTTTAGTTTTGATCACTGATTTTAATCTTTTGAATTACATTTACAGTGAGCTGTTTGAGGTGGACCACATCAGAACCATATATCACATGTTTATTGCACTCCTCATTATTTTTATCCTCAGCACACTGGTAGTAGATTACATTGATGAAGGAAGGTAAGAGAATGAAAAGGGTGTTTAGTCAGTTGATATGAGAGATGTTGGGAGTTTTCTCTATCTTTAAATTTATTGAAGGGTAATGTGGTCAAATTTGCTTCAGGAAATCCCTGAGAACTGGTTTGTGTCTTCTCTGAAAGTAAACTCAAATGAAAATTGGAAGTTTCATTTATTTTTTAAATGGTCTATTTTAATAGTACTTTTTAGGTACTTTTTCTAAATGGGAGAATTTTATATATGAAGCTAAGCCAAAAAGTATTGCTATAAAGATCATAGCAACCTTTATTTAAAAAAAATATTAAGATATGCCGCTGTTGTTTATAGACAATTCCTCCATCAAGGTCTATATACTTCTTCTGAAGGCAGTGTTTCCATCTCTAACCTTCCTTTCAGAATTCTGTGCTCTTCTAGTTACACCACTCAAATGACAGTTTGGGCATCCACAAGGGACTCAAATTGTGTTCCTTTTAAATATTCTTTGAGTTTTGGGAACAAAAAGAAGTCTGAACGGGCAAGATCAAAGTTGTTGGTTGGATGGGGTAAGGTTTCCCAGAAAAATTCTCTTACGACAGCCCTTGCTACCCTCAAAAAAGGAATAGGTGCATTGTTGTGATAGGAAGAAAGAAAAAAATTCCTTGAGTTAACTCCCCTGGTTTTTTTCTCATTAATGCAACTTTTTCTTATTCTAAAACTTCTTCATAATAAGTGCTTATGGTTGTCTTGTGGACTTCAAGAAAATTTGTCAAGATTTAGAATCCCAATGAACAGTCGCTATAGCTTTCTGAGCTGATGTCTCTGTGCCTTGAATTTTAACTGGCACAACAGATTCCTTGGAGGCCACTGTTTTGATTGAACCTTTTTTTGGAAGGCTCCCTAACAGGCTGAGACAGGAGTATTAGCAGAGAACTTGTTTGTGGCCATCTACTGATTGCAGAGACATGTTTAAACTTGTTTTATTTGGAATAAATCCTAGTAGCAATACTTTTTGACTTACCCTCATATATGATTTATGACTTTTTCTACTATGGGATGCATTAAGATTAATTGATTGAAAAATTAATAGCTTGCTAGAAATTAAGGATTGGAAAACATGCTAATTTTTTAAATGTCAAAATCAGATTATTTTTTAAAGATAGTCTTATCATAGTCATAGACTAAATTTTTTGCTAGAAAATTAAATTTTGTCAAAATAGTGTAATTGTATACTACTTGATTTTTAAGAAAGAAACAGGTAAGTTTCCTTCTTACAAAAATCTCTTCATACATAAAGGTGACTGTTGTTTACCTACATTCAGTGTTAATTTTATTTTCTATTATTTTAGACTTAAGAAATTAATATGAGCATCAAATCTTTAAGAAGCTGAAAGTCTTAGACCTTGTGATCTTGGAGCTTTTAGGAAAATTTGTTGTTGAGATATTGTATTGTAAAGTAGAAAGCTAAACCTTATGAGTTAAAATCAGGTCTCTGTCTAGCAGCACTAAAACATCTGTGACTTAGGTTGTAATATTACCTGAGGATAGAAGTGTGGGTATAGAAATTTAACCATTTAAATCTTTCTGCTTTTCCTCCTCAGGTTGGTGCTTGAGTTCAGTCTCCTGTCTTACGCTTTTGGCAAATTTTCTATTGTTCTTTGGACCTGGTGGGCCATGTTCCTGTCTACACTTTCGGTTCCTTATTACCTTTTTCTACATTGGGCCAATGGATATAGGCAGAGTTCCCACCCAGTGCTTCATTCTCTGTTCCATGGCTCACTTTTTGTACTTTTCCAGATTGGAGCTTTAGGTTTTGGATCCACATATGTTGTATTAGCATATGCACTGCCACCAGCTTCCCGGTTCATTGTTATACTTGAACAGGTAAGGTTTGGAGTGTTGTCCATAGCAGTGCTATGCTTAGAGAGCAGTAACAGCAATCATACAAATATGCTCTTATGTTTAGCTGCATTAGCTTGGATAAATTATCTGGTTTGTTGTGCCATTATCTGTAAAAATAAAATGTTAAACTAGATTTTCTCACCTTTTAAGAAATTATACTAACATGTTCTAGAAAATTAAAATTTTGTTCCTTAGCTTTATTAAAATAATCCAAGTTATATCTTGAATCATTGTTTTATCATAAAATGATTGCCATCTAAATAAAGGATTGATTTTCATTTGATTCTACACTCCTCAGAATTTTTTGACTTAATTGCTTTTTAAAGCTAGCCAGTTTTAAAATTTTACCATCATATTTTTTGTGAAATTAACATTTTGAATTTGATTTACATTTTCATCTTTGTTTTTGATTGTTAACCCTTTTCATCTCGTTAGTTGATTATTCTAAGCAAGTAAAATAGCAGAAATTAAAGAACAGTAGTTTTGTTTTGTTTTGCTTTGCCTTTAACAAATAGGAATTTATTCTCTCCCAGTTTAGGAGGCTAGAAGTCTAAATTCAGGGTTTTGGCTCTATGGGCAGGTTTGCTCTTTCTCTCAATTCTAGGGAAAGGTCCTTGTCTCCTTTCAGCCTCTGTAGGCTCAGTATTCCTTGGAGATTTCCATGTGTCTTGGCATCAATTCTTACCTGGATCTAGGAGCTCCACAGTGCAGGGACCCCAGGTCCAAAGGATGCACTCCACTCCTGCCTCTCTGTTCTTGGTGCTAGTAGGTCCCCTCTGAAGAAGAGTCTTTAAAAGATACTTCAAATAGTAAAAGTTCAAGTCATATAATTGCAAAATACCTTTTAGAAAAGTGCTTAGTCTTCATTTTGTTGGACTAAGGGAAAGGATCATTTCAGCAGGTTTTGTTTAAATCCATTCACTGAATTGAGTCCAATTCATAGATCACTGTCAAGTATAGGGTAGAATTGCCCCCATAGGGTTTTCAAGACTGTATTCTACGTAGAAGCAGACTATCACATCTTTCTCTCGTGGAGCATCTGCTGGGTTCAAACTGCTGACCTTTTGGGTTAGCAGCCAAGCAAATAAACACTGCATCATAGTGTAACATACAATGCTTTTAGATGAGAAATAATTTTAGGCTAACAACTTGCCCTTTTTTATTCCATAACCATGAACTTGAGTTAGTGTGTATAAAATTACACTGTTCTTCTGAAAGCATGATCTAGTTCTGTTCGAAGTTGTTTAAGGAAACAAGACAATGATGGGAAAGTCATCTATTTCTCCCCTCCTATTTTTTAACCTATAGATTCGTTTTATAATGAAGGCTCATTCATTTGTCAGAGAAAATGTGCCTCGGGTAATGGATTCAGCTAAGCAGAAATCAAGTATGTAATTTCATTCAGTCAAAGGATGCTTGATATAGAGTACTTGAAACTTAGAAGTGTGCTGGGATGGTACTTTACATTCTGTAGGGTTGATAAGGTATTTGAAATTTACGACCTGTTTACTGGGATGATACATTACATTCTGTAGAGTTTAATAAGTATATATGGTGGTTAGATGCTGTGGAGTCGGTTCTGACTCATAGCGACCCTGTACTGGGTTTCTGAGGCTGTGTATCTTTATGGAAGCACAAAGCCTCATCTTTCTTCCATGGAAAGGCTGGTAGTTTCGAACTGCCGACCTTGCAGTTCGCAGCCTGATTTGTAACCACTATGCTACCAGAGCTCCTTAATAAGTGTGTTGTTGTTGTTGTTACGTGCCATTGAGTCGGTTCCATCCCATAGCAACCCTGGATAAGGTTTCCGAGGAGCAGCTAGTGAGCTTGAACCGCTAACCTTGTAGTTCAAATGGCTTTGCAGTCTGGCGCATTAACTCACAGTGCCACACCAGGACTCCTTAATAAGTATAGAGGATGCATTGTTTACTTGGAAGGTTATCTCATTGTTTTCTAATGTTCCTATTTTGCATTTGTAACACAGTGGTAAAATTAATTATTTGCAGTATTTTTAAGAAATGTTAATATCCTCGGTACACCCATGAGTGCTTATCTTTTTTTTTTTTTAAGTACAGTTTCAACGTTTAGTTATCAAAGTCCTAGAAATAACAATAACAGGAAATAATTTTAGGAGTTCAGGAGCAAAGGGAAAGGAGTCTTTCCATTATTTTCCTTTTAGATTTGCTGGGAGATACCAAAGAGCTTCTGATCTAAGCTTAGTTTTCTTTTTCCAGGGACTGTACCAATACCCACAGTCGGCCAGTACTTGTACTTCTTATTTGCTCCTACCCTGATCTACCGTGACAGCTACCCCAGGTAACGGCACTATGAACACCATAAGTATGGCATGAGTGAGATTGAGTAGTGTTTTAGGCCGCATCTTCTAGAGAAGCTAAACTAGTGAAACATATATAGTATGTGCATATTGAGAAGTTTATCATCAAGGAAATGGCTTAGTTGCCCAGTCCTGGGTCCCCATCAAAAGAGAGAGAACCTTCCTGCGTGGCCATTATATTGATAGGCTGCTCCTTGCCTATCATCATAGAGTATTAGGCTTCATCACCATGGGAATAAGCACATCTCAACTGCTAAACTTCTTGAAATCCTGGCCTAGTCAAGTTGGCACAGAACCCTAGCCGTTACAGATAGGTAGGCAGTGGCCAGTTCATGTTGGGCACTACATAGAATAAAGAATGATTTTAATTTTCTTTAGAGATGGGAAGCCTTAGATGATGATTCTAGCAGTCTGATTTGATATAGAATTCTTTCTATTTTTGAACATTTTATTGTGTTTTAAGTGAAAGTTTACAGCAAATTAGTTCCCCGTTCAGCACTTCATACCCAGATTGTTCTGTGACATTGGTTGCTGTCCTCACAATATATCAGCACTCTCTCCATCTCCACCCTGCTGTTGAATTTCCCTTATCCTTCTTACATTCTTGTCTTTGTTTTTGCTTAAATGTTGTTACCCTGTTGGTCTCCTGTAGTTGATTGTTCTAAGAAATACATTCCTTTAGAAGTGTTATTGCTTATTTTAGAGGCCGATCTATTAATGGTTGAAAGGTGACCTCCAGAAATGGCTTCACTTCCAGATTAAAAGGGTGTGTTAGGCATAGTCCACAAAGATAATATTCTGCATCCTGCTTTGGTGAGTAGTGTGTAGTATCTTAAAAGGTCATGAGCTGCCATCTAAGGTGCAACTATTAGTGTCTTCATGTGCTGAAGAATGATGAGAATTGAAGATGTTTGTAATCCGTTAGTCCAGTGGACTAATGGAACATGTGAACATCAGTTCTGAGATCAGAAGACCTATATGATTCCTGGATGATGATTCCTGGATGGAGCAGGAGGAAATGTGAAACAAAACTCAAAATTATGTATGTATGTATAAAGATTGGGCTTACTGGTCAGAAAGAGACTGGAGGAATCTGAGACTATGGCCCTCTACTGCCTTTCACATCTGAAAAGGAACTCATCCTTGTGGCCCAATTTTCAGGCAAGCAGCAGATAGGTTTATAGAGGGGACAACAACACTAGTAAGGTATGGTCAATCATTCAATATCAAAAGGGCAACATTTACCTAAGGACAAAGTTGAAAAGGGATGGGAGGGAGGGTGGAATGGAAATAGAAACCACAGGGAGGAAGTGAGATAACTGTTGTTGCATGGAGGGGATTGCAATCATTGATAGGAAACATTTGTTGAATGTAAATATTTTTACCCCCCCTAAATAAATGTGAGTTTTGCTCTGTATTTTTATCCCATTTGTAAGAATGGAGAAGGGGAGATACCTAACCTCCTCTAATTTTACAAGGAAGCTAGATCAACGGCCAAAGGCTGATTCCTGAGAAAGAGGTCAGACTTGCCTCCACCTTTGAATCTTCTTACCAACTCTGGCACTACCTGCCCCTCCCAATCCACTCTACTCTGCTTTGTTCCACAACTCATTGAAGTGGCCACACACAACTGACAGACAATACTGTTTATGTATTTTTTTTAAGTGAAGTAAGAGATGACAATTCAGGTTCAGAAAGGACTTAGGATACAGTTCTGGACTTCTGTTTGCTTGGTCAAGTATTACGAAGCTTTTTTTAGCATTGTCTGTAAGTTCCCAGAGACAAATCACTCCTCTGTAATTCCTGAGTCAAGGACATTCTCAGCACAGGGTTCCTGAATCCAAAGGACACACTCCACTCCTGCCTCTTTTATTGGTGGTCATGAGATCTTCCTCCCCACCTCTGTTGTCCTTGTTGTTAAGTGCCATCAAAACTGACTCATAGAGACCCCATATAGGGTTTCCAAAGAGCTGTTGATGGTTTGAACCGCCAACCTTGAGTTTCGCAGTCCAGTGCTGATCCTGTAGCACCGCACTGGGATGACTCCTTTTTAGCCTTGAAAGATGGCTAAACTGTCCAATTCTCATTAGAGTTTTATACACCTAGTGTGGCACTGCAAGGCCAGTTTGAACTGTAAGGTGGCGCTTCAAAGTTATCAGCTGCTCCTTGGAAACTCTATACAGGGTCTCTGTGAGTCGGCACCAACTCAACGGCATTTAACAACAACAATAACCCCCACAAGGGTGCCATGCATCTTTCTAACAATATTAGGAGGTTATCCAAGAACCTTGGTGGACCATAAGCACCTTATTTGTATAGTAGCACCCAATCATTTGGTAAAAGTTACAAGACTGTGACGAGAAGGGCCATATTAAATAATTCATTGCACCATACACTTTTTTTTTAATTTAAGTTTTATTGTGAATTATGTGATAGTATACATGGGAGAACATGAGTTTTACATTTATCCTATTGTATATTATTTGTACCAGACACTCTTAACTGGGACCTTCTGTTGTGTGTCTGTTGTTCAGAGCAGTTTGGTTATGGTAGCTAGGCACCATACAGTTGTTCTGGTCTCAGGCTAATTGTGTCTTTGTGCCTTTGGTTTCCTTCCTTCGCCTTTGATCTGGACAGGAGGAGAACAATAGTTGTATATTAGATGGCTGCTTGCAAACTTTTAAAACCCCAGATACTGTTCACCAAACTAGGAAGTAGAACATTATCTTATGAATTATTTTATGCCAGTTGACCAAGATATACTGCAAGACTATGGTCTTGAGTCTTCAAACCCAGTAACTTAGTTCCACAAGTGTTTTAGATATGTCTAGAAAGTTTTCAAGTAGAGTTGGATGACTCAATGTTAGAAGTGTTGTAGGATGACATCAAAAACATTATACATGAAGAAAGCAAAATGTCATTAAAATGACAAGAAAGAAAGAAAAGACCAAAATGGAAGTGAGAAGTGACTCTGAAACTTGGCCTTAGGCAACAGAAACTTTCAAAGGGCATCTCGAGAAGACAAAGTAAAAGTATTATAATGAAAGTGTGAAAAGCTAGAGTTAGAAAACTAAAAGGTAAGAACACGGTCAGCATTTCTGAAGCTGACAGAACTGGAGAAAACTCAAGATGGGTTGCAATTAAGGATTTTATGGACAAAGTATTGAATGACTCAGGAAGCATCAAAAGAAAATAGAAGGAATACACAGTCACTGTACCAGAAAGAATTTTGAGAGATACAGCGTTATCATCAAGAACTGATAGTATTAAAGGCATTGGCGAAAAATAAGGCTCCAGGAATTGATGGAATATAAACTCAAATGTTTCAACAAACTGATGCAGCACTCGAGGTACTCACTCATCCATGCCAAGAAATTTGGAAGCCAGCTACCCCACCAACTGATAAGAGATCCATTTTTGTGACCATTTCAAAGAGAGGTGACCCACCGGAGTGTGGGCATCATGGGCAAATCTCATGCAAGTAACATTTGTATAAAGATAATTCAAAAGCATCTGCAACAGTACATCGACAGGGAACTGCCAGAGGTTCCAGCTGGGCTCAGAAGAGGACATGGAACAAGGGATATCAGAGCTGATGTTTGTTGTATCGTGGTTGAAAGCAGAGATTATCAGAAAGATGTTTGCCTGTGCTTTATTAATTATTCAAGTCTTTCGAGTGTGTGGATCATGAAAAGCTGTGGATGATATTGCGGAGAATGAGTACTCCGAAAATACTTAATTGTGCTCTTGAGGAACCTATACATAGACCAAAAGGCAGAACAAGGGAACTCTGAATGGTTTAAAATTAAGAAAGGTGTGCACCAGGGTTGTATTTCACCATATTTATTCAATCTGTATGATCACATACTCCGAGACATTGGATTATATGAAGAATGTGGCATCAAGAGTTGGAGGAAGACTCATTAACAACCTGTGATATGCATATGATACAACCTTGTTTCCTGAAAGCAAAGAGGACTTAAAATACTTACTGATTAAGAGCATAGACCCACAGTCTTTGGTATGGGTTACACCTTAATGTAAAGAACAGAAAAAATCCTCACCACTGGGCCAATAAATGGCATCAAGATAAATGAAGAAAAGATTGAAGTTGTCAAAGACTTCATTTTGCTTGGATCTATCATCAAAACTTAGGGAAGCAGCAGTCAAGTAACTAAATGATGTAATGCACTAGGAAAATCTGCTGCAAAAGACCTCTTCTAAGTGTTCAAGAGCAAGGAAGTCAGTTTGAGGACTAAGGTTCACCTAACCCAAGTCATGATATTTTCATTTGCCTCATATGAATGTGATAGTTGGACAATGACTAAGACAGATGGTAGGCAAATGAGTGCATTTGAATTGTGGTGGTGGCAAAAAATATTGAAGGCTCCCTGGACTGCAAGAAGAGCAAACAAATCTATCTTGGAAGAAGTACAGGCAGAATGCTCCTTAGAAATGAGGATGACAAGACTTTGTCTCATACTTTGAACATGTTGTTAGGTGGGATCAATCCCTGGAGAAGGACATCATGCTTGGTAAAGTAGAAGCTCAGCAAAATAGAAGTCCCCTAAGAAGTGTATTGACACAGTGGCAGCAACAGTGGGCTCAAATACTGTAATAGTTGTGAGGATAGCACAGGACAGGGCAGTGTTCATTCTATTGTGCTTAGGATCATTATGAACAAGAATCAACTGGACAGGGCCCAACAAAGAAGTTTCAAGAACTATGGTCTTTATGTACTCTTATATATATGTTGTTGTTAAGTGCTTTCGAATTGGTTTCGACTCATAGTGACCCAGTATAGGGTCTCCAAGGAATGGCTGCTGAATTTGAACCACTGACCTTGCAGTTCAAACTGACCTTGCAGTCCAGATCATTATCCTGTATGGACAAATGCCCACAATTATACCTGTATATTCACACACATACACTCCTTCCTATAAGTCCTCTCACACTGTAGCTTACATGTCTACTTATGAAACCACTCGCAAACTGTTGGTGGTTATTACTGTTGTAGGACTGTAATCAACACTGGTTTACTATCTAGTGAGTGAGCCTCCCTTTCATTCCTGGTAACCGTCAAAAACATTACTTTCTGTATGTAAGCCTATTCTCAACTTTTTAATAACGTGGTATGGTATTTTTCCTTTGTGATTTACATTTCACTCAGCATAATATTTTCCAGATTTCTTTTATGTTATAAAATGTTCCATGGACTCAGTATTCTTTCTCATTGCATAGTGTTCCATTTTATGTATGGAGCACATTTTGTTTATTCATTCATCTGTTGATGGACACTTGGGTTCTTTATGCTGCTGTGAATAATAATGAACCTGGGTGTACATATGTTTATTCATGTCACTACCTGTTTGCTGTAGGATTTCTGTAGCAGATAGTATTTCTATTTCAAGTGTTTGCACCATTTTCCAAAGCCAACAGCAGTGTCTAAGTGTTCCAATCTTGCCACAGCCTTGCCATCATTTGTTTTCCGTTTTTGTTTTTTGAGCAATGCTGTTGGCAGGATGAGGTAGGATTTCATTGTAGTTTTGATTTGCGACTGTTTAATGACCATGGTGTGGCACTATAGAATCAACACTGGACTTCAAACCACAAGGCCGACAGTTCAAACCCATTAACTGTTCCTCAGAAACCCTATACAGTGTTGCTATGAGTTGGAATCGACTCAACGGCACTTGACAACAATGTTCATGGAGTTCTGGTATGACACTGCAGGATAATGAACTGGTCCTTGAGGTCAGTTTGAACCCAAGGTCGGTTATTCAAACTCACCAGCCACTCCTTGGAAACCCTTTATAGAGTCACGACTCAAGGGCACCTAATGACAACAACAATGATTATGAGGGAGCTTGGTGGCTCCACAGGATATGCAGTGAACTGCAAACCACAAAGTCGGTGATTTGAGTCTACTAGCTGTAGCATAGGAAAAAGAGGTTTTCTGCTCCTGCAGAAATTTAAAGCCTTGGAAACCCTATTCAGGGTTGCTCCAAGGCATTTAACAGCAATAATGATCATGAGCATTTCTGTGTATTTCTTAACTGCCTGAATGTTATTTTTGGTGACGAGTCTGTTCGTGCCCTTTTTTCAATTTTTGATTGGATTAAAATTTTGATTTGTGCAAAATTTGGATTGTCTTTTTCGTCAGATGTTCTCCAAATTATTTCTTAGTTTGTAAGTTCTCTTTGCATTTTTGATAAAACTTTTTGATGAGCATAAATATTAAATGTTGTTCTTCATGGTTATGCTGATAACTTCATATGACCATAAACAATGTATGTGAAAGGTATTACTAAGTTATTTATTACAGTTCAATTATTTAATTAGAAAACTTAATTTTGTTTCTTCCTTTTTAGGACTCCCACGATAAGATGGGGTTATGTTGCTACTCAGTTTGCACAGGTATGTTTTTTTAACTGCCTGATGTGTGTTGACTGGTGGGAGATGGGAATTCTTATTTATAATAATAGTTTAATCCATTTTGTTAAGTGCCGTCGAGTTGGTTCTGACTCATAAGCAACTCTGTAGGGTTTCCCAGGAGCAGCTGGTATGTTTGAACTGCTAGCCTTAAGGTTAACAGTCCAGCGCTGATCCTACAGCACCACATCAGGTCTCTTAATCCATTAAGTATTGGTAAATATGTATTTACTGAAAGCTCTAGAACTCTTTTTGTTGGGATGATGAAGTCTTTTCAAACTATTCCCAGTACTTCAGATGGTGGGTTTTTTTTTGTTTGTTTGTTTGTTTCCGTTATTGTCAAAAGTAATTTTCTTCAGTTAAAAAAATATATACTATGTTAAGTTAAAGTAATTCGATTTGGTTTATTCTACGTAACTCATCCCTTAACTTATGTGTGTGTGTGTACAAAATTGTGAACTGGGTGTGGTTTGGTCTCTGATCACCCTACTAATCAGAATTTAAAAAAACAAACCCCAAAAGGTTCTATTTTATATTGTCTTAATCAAATACCGTTTACAAAATAAGTTTGTTAGGTTTTCATATAACAAGAAAAACATGTTCTAAAAGAGTCTGATTTTTTTTTTAAATGCTATTTTATTAAGGGTTAGAAGACTATGGTAAAAACTAGATTTAGTAACCTAAGCCAAACCTGTTGGTGTCAAGTTGATTCTGACTCACAGCAACCCATGTGTTACTGAGTAGAACTGCTCCATCGGGTTTTCTTGGTTATAATTTTCACAGGAGCGCCCCTGGTCTTTCTTCACAGCATTGCTGGTTTGGTTTGAACCACTAACCTTTGCTAAGTGGTTAACCGTATGCTCCACCCTGGGACCTTGGCAATCTTAAATACTAGGGTTAAATGAATATGTATGTAAGCGTTACTTTAAGGGTCACATATATACTTAGCTTTGGAGGAAAGCAGTATCATCTTCAATATCTCCTTATCAAGCCATTATTATATCTTTGTTATGTTCCAGACTTTTGGTTGCATTTTTTATATATACTACATCTTTGAAAGGCTCTGTGGCCCCTTGTTTCGGAATATCCAACAGGAACCCTTCAGCGCTCGTGTCCTCATCCTGTGTGTATTTAACTGCATCTTGCCAGGTAACATGGATACTAATTAACTTGCTCATTCATACATTCTCATGGAAAATAAAAAGCTATTGGGTATGCGTGCCTGTGATTTACCTCCTTTTCCCTCATAAACTCACCTACACATCTGTGCCCATCTTGATCTCATTCTCATTTATCTGAAAAATAAGATGTCGTCCTGTTTTCAGGCCAATTCTTTCATTTATCCTCTGACTTTCACTAAAGTTTTGTTTTCTCTGGGATGTGGGCAGTACATATTTATGCCTTCTCTTCCCATTCAGCTCAGTATATGGCTCTTAATCCCACTATGACACTAAAGTGCCCTTTGTTTAAATCATTTGTAAACTCTTGATTCTGAATCTACCTAGTAGATGGCTCAGCCCTTACCCTGTTTACCTTCTGTGAAGCGTTAGATGCTATTGACCACTTGTTTCCATAAATCTAATCTCTCCTTACCATTCTTTATTCTCAAGTCTTTGTGCCTTTACCTCATTCATTTGGCCATTCTACTTCATTCATTCCACTTATTTTGCCAAATCTTCTCCACTATAAAACAACAAGTTAGATGAATAATGTTGTTGTTATATATAGGTGTCAGATTCTGAAAAGGTCTTGTGTACCAAATTAAGCTATATATTTAAGGCTTTCTTTCTATTAAAAATGGACTTAAGTTGTCTGTTGTCTATAAAACCTTTTTGAAAATTAATGTTTTATAAAATTAAACTAGTAACTTGCAGTAGTTGTTTTTGGAATACTGTTTTTATAAAATGAGGCCAGGTAAGCAATGATGTATAATTAACTCCTTGGTATGTGAGCTACTGGAAAGAAATCTTAACATTGTTACTCTTATTTTTAGGTGTGCTGTTTCAGTTCCTTACTTTTTTTGCTTTTTTGCATTGCTGGCTCAATGCCTTTGCTGAGATGTTACGTTTTGGTGACAGAATGTTTTATAAGGTAATGTGTACTTACTTGGACTGATATTTTTTTTCACATTTTACTTCCTCATTGCTAAACTTTTGAGTGCCGATGGCAAATAGTTGCTAGATCTTTAACATCAACATTGTGAGATATTTTTCTTTTCCCTAGTTTTTACCAGTATTAAGTTTGAAATTCAGAATTAGATTAGCATAGTCTCTTTTGTTTTGTGTATCTGCTCTTTCATACAGAATGGATTTTGCTGTATCCTTTGAAGACATACTGATAATTGAAGCAGGAAAATACTTATTCAAAAGACATTATGAGACTTCTCTGACAGCTCATTCCATTGAAATTGACTGGTTCCATAGGAGTGATCACAATGGACATTTTTCTGGTGTACAGTTTGGTGATGTCAATTTTACTATTCATGCCATGCATCTATAACCTATAATCATGGCCAAATTTACCACCATCTTAAACAGATTCACTGCTTCCTAAATGAGAACTCCCCTCCTATCCCTCTTCTTGTTGTTATTAAGTGCCATCGAGTTGATTCTCATTCATAGCGGCCCTGCATAATAGGGTTTCCAAGGAACAGCTGTGGGTTTGAACTGTAGACCTTGTGGTTCAAAGTCCAGTGCTTATCCTACAGTGCCACAGTAGGACTCCTCCTGCACCTGGTAACCACTAATAAGCATTTGCATATTTTTGTTTTTTTATCTGAGATCGTTCGATAGCTATTCTTTTGTGATTGACTTATTTTACTGAACACAATGCTTTCAAGATTCATCATGTTGCAGCATGCATCAGGACTTATTTTTTATGGTCAACTAGTGCTCCAGTGTGTGTATGTACCACATTCTTTTCATCCATTCATCCACTGATGGGCATTTAAGTTGTTTCCACCTTTTGGTTATTGTAAATAATATTACAGTGAACATTTGTATACCAAACAACTGTTTAGTATTAGTGTTCTGCTTTGTCTACATAACCTTTAAATTCTCTTATTATTTTTAGCATGGTAAAAGTGTTTTTTACTGATTAATGTTTAAATGAACATTACATTTAAATGATTCTTTGTGTTCTGATTTTCATTACAAACTTACTGACAGAGATGAACAGAGTACCATCATAACTTGTTAGATAATGAGACCACATGAATTAGGGATTTAATAATATGTAGAACTAAAATTAGTATTTTATTAAATGTTGTTAAACAAAATGCCTTATGAGATTTTTCTGAAATCACTATGTGAACTAACAGTTTATCACAATATATTCTGGGTACTAAATTTTTTGTGTATATGCTTTTGTGAATATGCAAGGTTTAGTTATGGTTCTTAGTTTTCTGTTTTGTTTTATACCTTTCCTTTTTTAAAAAATACCTTTATATTTTTTTTCAGGACTGGTGGAACTCTACATCATTTGCCAATTATTATAGGACCTGGAATGTGGTCGTCCATGACTGGCTATATTACTATGCTTATAAGGACTTTCTCTGGGTAAGCAGCAAGACTTAATTGACAGAAAGATTGTTACCCATTATGCACCGCATGTTTGCATGTTCATGGGCAGCCTGGTGCTAAATCATTCGAAAATGACCTGCTTCTGTGTTGGTTTCATAGGTAGCAAAGTAGCTCCCTCGCTGTAATCTATTGAAAGTCAGCTCTCAACACAATGGTTTGTAGAAAAACAAAACAACATAAGAAGAAAAAAAGCAAAAATTTTTGAAGGAAGAAATGGAGATTCTTTTAAAGAAGTAGAGAAATCCCTTTCAGCCAGTGACATATACCTATCTTTGAAACATTCTTTAGAGCGGAATATATTTAGATTGGTGAGATACAATCTTGACTCTCCTGGCTGATTAACCCAGGCATCTTTGCATTGTGTTTTTTAATTTTATGTAATTGGCATGTCATTTATATTGATAGTTTCACATATACACAAAACATATCCCTTTCCCTTTCTAATCTTTTTTTAAATACAAATAGATCATACTTCTTTCTGTTCTGTCATATAATGCTTAAGATTTGATGTGCTGTTTGTACAAGGGGGCTTCAAAAAGTTCATGGAAAAACTCTGTTTCCATTTAATTCAATTTTTCCATGAACTTTTTGAGCCCCCTTGCAAAAACATGAAGCACCTGCAGCCCTGTCTACTCCTCAGTTGGGTTCGATAATCTGTTACAGTGGCCAGGGGCACTCAGACACCATACTCACAGTTGTGGGGTCTATTAGGGAAATTAACTGTTTACAATACAGGATAACAAAATCAGAAAATGCTCAGAACACGGTTGTTCCAGTCAGCTGCTGATAAATGCCCGTAGGACACACCACTCCACCATAATCCTCAGCCTGAAGGCACTCTGCTCTAGCTTCATGGGTCAGCAAACAGCTCCCCCAGTTTAGTGCCTACAAGCACCTCACTCTACAAGCAAGCGTCCTGCCCAAGTCACTCAGCTTTACTTGCTCTGTGACCTGGGAAGCCCATTGCTTTGTCTTGTGCTCTGGTTCTTGGATCTGCTATAGCTCTTCCTCTGCCATTTGTCTGGTGTCACAGCTTTCTGTCCCTGAGTCATTGAGGTTCAGTGCGCAGGGGTTTTTAGGTCCAATGGTTAATGCTCCTCTCCTGGCACTTTGTTTTTGAAGATAGTGATGTCTCTCCCCTCCTGCTTTTGAGATAGCTCACTTGGAACCCATGCTAGAGCTTCAAGTTTTTGTAATAACAAGGAACACTGCTAACATCCATAGCTAAATCATGTTATCCTATCAGTATCTTCTCTCATCTAGACCCAGCAGGACAGAAGCGTTGTTTGGTATACATTACAGACAATGACTAGAACATGTATTAATTCACTGCAGCATACTTCTCATATATGAAAAGTTGATTTGTCAGCTATTGTTGTTAAGTGTTCTCAAGTTGGTTCTGCCTCACAGTCTGCATAGGACTTCCAAGGAGTGGTTAGTGAGTTTCAACCACCAACCTTATGGTTAGTGGTCCAGTGCTTATCCTACAGTGTCACACGGGTTGTTAGGTGCCATCAAGTCAGTACCAACTCATGCACTATGCACAACAGAACAAAACACTGCCCGGTCTGTGCCAACCTCACAATTGTTACTACATTTAAGCCTTTTGCCACTACACTGTGCCAATCCATCTTGTTGGAGGTATACCTCAAATGCATGAATTCTTCTATGGTCTTCCTTATTCACTGTCCAGCTTTCACATGCGTATGAGGTTATTGAAAATACCATGGCTTGGGTCAGGTGCACCTTAGTCCTCAAACTGACATGTTTGCTCTTGAACTCTACCTTTGTGACTTGCAAATATGAGTTAATATATTTTTTTTAATTTGTCCAGATTGTTTAACCTAATGTTTTCAAAAAGGTCTTTATTTTTATCAAGATGAGCATAAAAGCATATGCTTTTGTAAATTGTGAACCCAATATAATTAATAGGTGACTTTGTTGTTGTTGTATCGGGTTTCCGAGGAGTGACCAATAAGTTTGAACCACTGAACTTGTGGTTAGCAGTCTAGTGCTTAATCTACAGTGCCACCATGTGACAATTACAAGTCTTAAGTAATTTATGTTTTATTCATTTTTAATATTTTCTTTAGTTTTTCACTAAGAAGTTCAAATCTGCTGCAATACTAGCAGTCTTTGCTGTGTCTGCTGTAGTGCATGAATATGCCTTGGCTCTCTGCTTGAGCTTTTTCTACCCAGTGCTCTTCGTGCTCTTCATGTTCTTTGGAAGTAAGTATCTTGGCATGAGGAGAGTGCTAGTTATTATGCTACTAGACAATGTTAGACAAAAAAAAGAAACTATAAATAATGGAAAACTAGATAGAACATAATATTGCATTTCAACTAGTGTTTATCAGATGGTTAAGAACATGGACCGCTGAATAATTATATACTGCTCTGTTTCAAGATATTTATACTTTGAAAGAGGGAAATGAGTTCAGTAGCCTCTTGAAGACTGTTGAGAACACTCAGGTCATGGGAACTTTCTGTATAAACAACTTCCCCTTTTATGACACTATTAGTGTGCACTTTCCTCTAGCCCCAACTAAAACTGACCATTTTTTAGGTGGATAAAGAGGGACAAGTTAGAATATGAATAATTTCATAAAATATCTTTTACCTGTTGACTACTTTAAGATTTTCTGTTACTCATTGATTAATAAACTTGAACTCTAAATTAGTTTTATTTATATTTATAGGAACTTTGGGTTATAAAACTTGTAAAGGAAAAGCTCGTGCTCATTGTGATTATTAAACGATGTGTGAGGCCCCTATCTCCTAATTGATTATTTTGATAACTTTGCTTTTTTGTCATCTTACTCTAGTGGCTTTCAACTTCATTGTCAACGATAGCCGGAAGAGGCCAATTTGGAATGTTATGATGTGGGCTTCCCTTTTTGTGGGTCATGGAATCATCATGTGTTTTTATTCTCAAGAGTGGCATGCACGTCAGCATTGTCCTCTGAAAAATGTGAGTCCTCAGTTACACTGGAGTGGAAAAGTTATCTATCTGTCCTCCCTTTGAGAGAGTTGATGGATAATATTGAGAATGGTAGTGGAGGCCACAATGAATTAATGTTGAGGGGAGAGAAATAGGAAGGAAAAGCATTAGTTTATTATCAGATAGTTTATTATCTATCTGATCTTACTATATGGTCCTAAAAAATTTTTTCCTTTTACATCCAATTCTGCATTGACTCTCTTTTCTCTTTTATAGTCCCGTAGCCCCCTTTCTGAGCCTTGGGGTAGCACTCATTGTAGGATAAGCATTGGACTGGTAACCATAAGGTTGGCAGGTCAGACCACCAACTACTCTCCAAAACCATATACAAGGTTGCTATGAGATGGCACCAACTCGGCAGCACTTAACAACAAGCCCCCTTTTTAATTTCCTTCTCTCCTGAATATGTAGAGTTTCTCTAAGGTTGTCCAAAAAATATATATGTATTTTTTTCCTCCCTTCCACCACTCAATATCTTTTTTTTTTTTTTTTTAATAAATGTTTTATTGTGAATTATGTGATAGTTTACCTGGGAGACCATTGGTTTTACATTCATTCTATCATGGATTGTTTCATTGCCATAGTTACAATCCCGTCCATGCATCATCAAGCAAGCAAAGGGTATACCCTGCAAGCCTGCCCCCCCAACCCCTCCCTGGTCATCAGCATACAGCTCCTTTCCCTCTCTGGATCTCAAGTCCCCAGCCACTCCATCTCTCCGCGTCATCGTCTCTGCCTCCATCTCAGGCATTACTGCTTCTCTGGGTAGGGTCCCGCTGTCCACTCTTCTCCATTGATGATCCCAGGGCCCTCCGCTCCTAGACTGAAAAGTTAATCACTCCCCTCCTTGCTGTAAAATGTCCACCTTTACATTTCCATCCCTCATAATCAGTCCTGATAACAATTATTCACTATTGCATCACAAGAGACCCATCTGCATTTCATTTCATCAGCCCTTCCTAGACAGGTTGGATACTACTCACTGGAGACTGTACCTTCCTCCATGCCCTGTGGATCTAGGTTCCCTCTTGAAAGCTTGTAAGCCGGTCACTTCTTGCCTTTGTAGCTCCCCCCACCCCACCCCCCCAATTTTGGGTAGCCAATGTCCAATTTGCCCATCGCTGTCTACTCTGTGTGGAGGGGGTGGGAATGATTCTTGCAGTAAGGATTTGTTTCCTCTTTTGAGCTACTGTATCCATAGGTGTAGGTCAAATTCATCAAATTGTATCAGATGACGCTTTTTTTTCTCTTCTTTCTTCTTTGGGTTGACCTCTGATCATCCAGTCATTGGAGCCAGGTCAAGTGGGTATTATCTGTAAGTGTGGGTGTTCTTGCGACTCTCCGCTCTCTTATCAGCTGGACGGTTCACTCTCCACTCTGGTCCTCTGTGGCTGTGTCACTGATTCTGAGCCTTTGAGTCCCCAGGTCTTGCCACACTTCTGGCTGACCAAGTCTCCACCCAGATTCACAGGAATCTATTGAACATTGTAGGGCTTATCTCACTGCTTCATTGCTGTTTTTCCCTCACTTCCCATTATGGGTGACGTGTGTGGTCGCCAATCAGAGTGTGTATTCCCATTGAGTCTTAGTCTTGGAAGAGGATTTGCACTGAGGGGACCTGACCACTTGCCTTGATGTCTCCTGGGCAAGCAACTTGCTTTGTCTTGTAGTAATAGTCGGTCTGCCTCTATTGTTTTGTATTTTTCATGTAGGTCTTTCTTTCAAAAAGTATCTTCTGTTTCTCTAGCTGCTCCAGGCTTGTCTGCTCATCCTTTCAAGTGGAAATTTCCCATCTCTGAAGGTCTGGATGTGGTTCTGGCTTCCACCTATAGTCTTATGTAATGCAGAGGCTCCTCAGGCAACCTCCTTCACTAGGCACGTTGTAGCCCCATTTTAGGTATTCCAATCAGTTATAGGCAGAAGACGGATTTATAAGCTTTGTATGGTGATATTTCTGGCTATTCCTTTCTCTCCCCCTCCAGTGTCTATTATATAACATAATGCACGGAAAACTAAGATTCAAAAGACAGCCAAGCATCTTAACATTATTCCCCCCTTTTCCCCATTCCAACCTTGTCCCCATTCTCTGTATCCCAGAGCCCTGTTGTTCCAAGGTTGTGCCTATGTTGTTATTTACCTCTGTCCCATTTAGCCCATTCAAACCTGCCTAATAGTTCTCCCATCTGCTTTGTTCTTCCATTCCCGTCTCCCTTCTTGTATATTGCCCCCCTCCCCAACGCCCAAACTGTCCTGTGTCTATTCCCTGCCCTGTGCTCCACCTTCCCCTCCCTCCCCTAACCCTATCCCTACATCCCAGCAACCAGCTAAGAATCCACTTTAGTGGATTAGTGTGGGTTCTTTTTCTTACTCTTTCACAGTAGTGGTCCTATGCAGTATTTCTCCTTTTGTGATTGACTAATTTCACTCAACATAATGTCCTTAATTCATCCATGTTAGCTAGTGCCATGTAGCTTGCTTGTTATTTTTCAAGGTAGCATAATATGTACCACAGTTTGTTTATCCATTCTTCAGTTGATGGGCACATTGGCTCACTCCATCTTTTTGCTATTGTAAATAGTGCAGCTATGAATATTGGTGTGCATATATCTTCGTGTGTTTTGGCTCGTTTTTCTTATGGGTAAATAGCAAGTAGAGGAATTGCTGGATCGTATGGTATTTCTATTTTCAACCTTCTGAGGAAGTGCCATATTGCTTTCCAGAGAGGTTGGACCATTTTGCTGTCCCACCAGCAATGCAGGAGTGTCCCAGTGTCTCCACATCCCCGCCAGCATTTATTGTCCTCAACTTTTTTGATCTTTGCTGTTATTGCTGGTGTGAGATGATATCTCATTGTTGTTTTGATTTGCATCTTTCTAATGGCTAGTGATCGTGAACATTTCTTCTTATGTTTGTTGGCTGCCTGGATCTCCTCCCTGGTGAAGTGTCTGTTCATATTCTGTGCACATTTATTAATTGGGTTATTGTTTGTGTAGATGTGCAGTATTTTCCTATATATTTTAGAAATGAGTCCCTTATCCGATATGTCATTGCAAAAGACTTTTTCCGAGTCTGTAGGTTCCCTTTTCACTCTCTTGGTGAAGTCTTTTGATGCACATAAGTTTTTAATTTTTAATATGTCCCACTCATCTATTTTGTCTGTTTTTGTTTGTGTACTTTTCAAAATGTGTGGCAGTTTGTATATGCCCTGAATTAGCGCCCTCACGTTTGTCCCTAATTTTTCATTGATCTTCATGATTTTGGGATTCACATTTAGATCTTTAATCCATGTTGAGTTCATTTTTGTATAGGGCATGAGACAAAGGTCTTGTTTCAGTTTTTTACAGATAGCTTTCCTGTTCTGCCAGCACCATTTGTCAAAGAGACTGTCTCTTCCCCATGCAATGTGCCTAGGCACTTTGTCGAAAATCATGTGGCTGTAAGTGGTTGGGTTAATATCTGGATTCTCGATTCTGTTCTATTGATCAATGTCTCTTTCATTGTACCAGTACCAGGCTGTTTTGACCACCATAGCCATGCAGTATAGTTTGAAATCGAGTGAGAGACCTCCAACCTTGTTCTTCCTTTTAAGCAGTGCCTTGCTTATCCTGGGTCTCGTTCCTTTCCATATAAAATTACTAATTGTCTTTTCCATCTCTTTGAAGAATGTTGGAAACTGGATTGGGATTGCATTGTACGTGTAAATTGCTCTGGCTAGTATTGATATTTTCATGATGTTGAGTCTTCCTATCCAGAACATGGTATGTTCTTCCACTTCTGTAGGTCTCTTTTGGTTTCTTGTAGTAGTGCTTTGTAATTTTCTTTGTATAAGTCCTTTGTTTCTCTAGTTATGTTTATTCCTAAGTATTTCATCCTTTGTGTGGCTATTGTAAATGGTATTGCTTTCCTAATGTCCATTTCATCACTATTGCTGTTGCTATAGAGATATCCAATTGATTTTTGTATGTTAATCTTATACCCTGCCACTTTGCTGAATCTTTCGATGAGGTCTAATAGTTTGTTTACTGAGTCTTTGGGGTTTTCTGTGTATAGGATCATATCGTCTGCAAATAAGGAGAGTTTTACTTACTCTTTGCCAATTTGGATGCCTTTAATTTCTTTATCATGCCATATAGCTCTGGCTAAAACTTCCAGCACAATATTGAATAGGAGCAGTGATAAAAGGCATCCTTGTCTGTTTCCTGCTCGCAGGAGGAAGGCTTTCAGTTTCTCTCCATTGAGCGTGATATAGGCTCTTGGTTTTGTATATATGCTCTTGATTATGTTGAGGAATTTCCCTTCAATTCCTACTTTGTTGAGTGTTTTTATCAGGAATGGATGTTGGATTTTATCAA